AACTTCCGCGACGTGTGCATGAGGGCGTATAACCTGGACGCCGCCCATTATTTCACCGCCCCAGGCTTAAGTTTCGATGCGATGCTTAAGTTTACAAAGAAAAAGTTGGAGTTGTTGTCAGAGTACGACATGTTATTAATGTTTGAGAATGGTTAGTATATTATTTTTAATTTTTAAAATGTGTATATATCTTATATATTTYTATAGGTATTCGTGGTGGATTGGTACAGGCAAGCATGAGGCATGCGAAGGCTAATAACATAAAGACTCCAGACTATGACGAGACTAAGGACAAATCGTGGATAATATATCAGGACTGTAAGTATATGTTTTTAATTTTTTTCAAACTTAAAGTTTAAACTTTTTAAACTTAAAGGTAACAACTTGTATGGGTGGGCGATGTCGGAGTACATGCCTTACGGTGACTTCAAATGGGTTGAATCCAACTTAAACGGACTGAGTGACATGTCACCAACGTCAGATAAAGGGCGAGTATACGAAGTCGATGTCTCATACCCGCAACATTTACACGATCAACATAATGACTTACCTTTTCTGCCACAAAACAGTATACCACAAGGCTCGAAGGTAAAAAAATTAATGGCAACTTTTGAGCAGAAGAAGAATTATATTGTTCACTAYAGAAATCTACAGCAGGCGATAGAGAACGGTTTAATAGTTGAAAAAGTAAATATTTTTATTTTATAAGATTTAAATCAGATTTTTTCATTTTTCTTATTTTATAGGTCCATAGAGTTTTAGAGTTCAGTCAGTCTGCATGGTTGGCAGATTATATTAGCTTAAACACTGAGATGAGGAAGAAGGCTAAGAATACGTTTGAAAAAGATTTTTTTAAATTAATGAATAACGCTGTATTTGGTATGACACTTTATATTATTTATTCTATTTAAACATTTTTACTAACAATTTGTTTTTTTAGGTAAAACAATGCAGTCAAAACGGAAAGAAATGAAAATGGAATTGGTGTCAAACGAACARAGGCTGCAGAAATTAATCAACAAGACTACATTCAAGCACTGCACTAGATATAATGAAAATCCCAATCCCAATGCTGTAGCGCTTGAGAACCAGAATCATTACTTTCGACAAACCTATCTATATTGGTAAACTTACTTTTTTTAATTTTATATTATACAATTATATCATCCATTTATTAACACGTGTATTATCTGTAGGATTTGCAGTGCTTGATATTAGTAAAACTTTAATGTACGATTATCATTATAATGTCATGCAGAGGCATTATGGGGATAGGATTAAACTTTTGTATACCGACACAGGTAAATATAATAAAACTTACTTATCTCTTGTATATAATATATTAATTTGTTATCAATATTACAGATTCATTGATATACCGTATTAACACCGATGACTTTTATAATGACTTACTTAACAACTCTAGCATGTTAAATAGAGTGGACACGTCTGACTTGCCTTCTAGTCATCTGTGCTATACCTCAGCGAGGAAGAAGGTTCCTGGGTTCTTCTCCGATGAAGTTAATGGAAATATAATTACAGAGTTCTGTGGGCTRAGAGCTAAATCGTATGCTTTTAACATTTATGTCGGAGAAGAGGATGAGAAGAAAGATAAAGAGGACAGAGTAGGAGGGGAAMAAATTAAGGCGAAAGGGATACGGTCTCATGTAGTTAAAAACCACATGACTCTTGAAGACCATAGAAAGTGTTTGTTTAATGAAACTGGAGTGGAATTATACAAGGAGAATTTATCGATACGATCATTCATCCATCAGATAGTAACGATCAAGACAAAAAAATTAACTTACAATAGCTATGATGATAAGAGGGTGGTGCTAGAGGATAAAATACATACATTAGCACATGGCCATTATAGTATAGAGTGAGTTAATACATTTATATATTTTTAAATTATTGTAATGATTTTACTTTTATATTTTATAGGAAAGATGAGCCCGAGGATGAATGGTCTGAACTCGATTATGAGGTAGATGACAGAGGGCGTCGATGGAGTAAACTGGATAAAGAGTTTATGAGGGAGCTTCTTTATTACACAACTAAATAGTTTTATTTCAGAAACTTTACTTATTTTTTTTTTGTTATATAGTTTTATTGTTTTGTTATATATTGATTATTGTAAATAACTTGTAAATATTACCCTATTAAATGTTATATAATGTAAATACTTAATAATAGATTATTGTGTAATTTGTAAATATTTTTGTAAAATATTAGATTAGCGTATAAATTTGTAGTATTAACACCTTTATAATGTATACTTTGTATGTAAATGTATAATTTTTATTTTTATTTTGTATAATTTGTAATTTACT